TGACAGAGTCCGGAGCTTGCATACGTCCCCTAGGGTCCTTGCTATCGGCAATCCCGAACCCTCAACCCCAGAAAAGTTTCGAGTTCGGGGTTTACGGGTTATATAGGGTCCAAGGCTTACGGGTTTTGCGGTTTTTGGTCACAGGTCGGCAGAGGTTGGGCAGGGGGGGGGGGTTGTGTGGATAGGCTTAAAATATAGAGTTAGGGTTTAGGTTTTCCCGAATCCTGGGTCACAGGGAGCCTGCATCACGTACTGTGTATCCATATTATGCTATCGCATTTCGTCATGTTCTCGCAACCCAGAATATCCCATGGTTACTCCTTGGTAGGCCCTTGAGATGTTTGATATTTTCTCGATTGGGTATCGGAGGATCACATTTAGGCATCTGTTTCAGAGGGTTTAAAGGGCCCAACCCTGGCAACACCCTAAACCCGCAACCCCAAAAACCCTAAACCCCAAACCCCAAACCCTCCCTAAACCTCCCGTTCAGGAAATACCCTGGAGGAGGCGAAGCAAGGAGTGATTCTGAAGCGCGGGGCCCTGGGTGTCCCAACGGCCCTTCACACAGTTCAGGGCTGAGTCTCGTTGCAGGGTTTCATGGTTTAAGTTGGGATGTCCCCCTATACTAGCAGTCCTTAATAGGGATTATAGTCCTCCCCATTAGAATCCCTATTAAGGACTCTTCGCAGAAGGGGGAACATCCCAAGTTTTAGGGTCTAAAGGCGGCGGTCTCTGCTGGGCCCATCGAAGTCTTGAGGCCGCTGTGGATCTCAGAGGGGAAGGTGTTGGCAAGCCCTGGCTCCCGAATTCCTTCTCCTTAGGGGCCCAAACAAGTTTAGGGTTTAGGGTTTAGGGTTCAGGGTTCAGGGTTTAGGGTTTAGGGTTTAGGTTCTAGGGTTTAGGTTCTAGGGTTTAGGGTTTAGGGATCCGATTATTGGGGGTATAAAAGCCCCCTATCAGGGGGGGGGGGGGGATTCTGGAAAACCAGCAACATGCAGCTTTAGTACTCTATTCCTTCAAAACCCCTGAGCCCTAAACCCTACTAAGCCCAAAGCCCTGGCTCCAACTACATCCCGCTTCATTTGTTGAAGTCCGTGGCGCATTGACTCCAACGCAGAGAGACTTCGCCCCCTGAGAGCTTGTTCTCTTCAGCCTCGATTACTCAGAGGGGGAATGAGGTACATTATATTTCCCCGCACATAGGCTTAAGGCTTAAGGTTCAGGATGTAAGTTTTAGGGTATATTGTATTCCTACATATATATATATATATATATATTACACATACCCTTTGAGGGATTCCATCAGGTGCCTAATCCCCTCATTCAACCAGCCGGTTCGGGATTTGGATGGTGTGTTGGCTGGGGAAATTTGGTCTTGGGGCTCGAGTCTAGATCCTCCAGGTACCCTTTAAGATACCTGAAATGCCCGCCGTATCCCTTATCCCTGTAGGATGTTGTGAGGGCATGTCTCAGTTTGGGGGTCTTAGGGCTTAGGGCTTAGGGCTTAGGGCTTAGAACTTAGGGCTTAGGGCTTAGGGCTTAGGGCCGAGGGCTAAGGGCTTAGGGCTGAGGGCCGAGGGCTGAGGGCTGAGGGCTGAGGGCTTACGCCTTAGGCCTTAGGCCTTAGGCTTTAGGCCTTAGGGTTTGGGCAAAGCATCCTGAGGGTTGACCCTCGACCCTCACCCCAAAGCCGGATTTGAGAAGGTTAGGGGCTCAGGGTTTAGGGTGTAGAGTTGAACCTCAGCCATGCAAAGAAGCTGCTCACATTGCTACAGTTCCTAAACCCAACACCCTACACCCTAAACCCTACACCCTAAACCCTAAACCCTAAACCCTAAACCCTAAACCCTAAACCCTAAACCCTAAACCCTAAACCCTAAACCCTAAACCTCTTCCGAGGCTAGCAGAGCGATCTAGAGAAGGCTGGCTTGGACTGACATGCTCGGGGAAGCCATGGTGGTTGGTGAGGGCTCTGGGTTTCATTGGGTTTGGGGTTTGGTTTAGGGTTTAGGTTTAGGGTTTAGGTTTAGGGTTTAGGGTTTAGGGTTTAGGGTTGAGGGTTGAGGGTTGAGGGTTTAGGGTTTAGGGTTTAGGCTTTTTGTGGGGTTTCTTGCACCTTACTTTGGGTTTCAGGTTTAGAGCTTTAGGGATTGAAGCTTAGCGTTTAGGGGTTAAGGTCAAGGGCTTCAAGAGAAATTCGGTTGAGGGAAAGATCCAAGGCTCCCCAAAGTCGAAACATCCCCGGCGAAACCGCAAAGCCCTAAACCGTGCACCCTGAAGCCGCCCTTAAACCCTAAACCCTAAAGCCATAACAACCCTGAAGCCCTAAACCCTAAACCCTAAAGCCTTTAAAACCCTGAAGCCCCAAGACCGGTTTATGGGGGTTTTGAACAGCAGCGTTTCTCCCCTAAACTCTATGCCCAGGGGTGGGCAGAGGGGCGGGGGAGGGGCCCTAAACCCTCAACCCTATAACCTTAAACCCTAAACCCTAAATCCTAAACCTTAAACCCTAGACCCAAAACCCTAAACCCTAAACCCTGAATGGGGGAGGGTGAGAGGGATTCCGCGGGACTTAGGTTGCACTGTGGCGGTCCTTCTGGGACAGTTTCAGACAGGTCCTCATGTACCCCTAAACCCGAAACCCTAAACCCCAAACCCTAAACCCTAAACCCTCAGCCCGAAACCCCGATAAGATCGAGTGCTTCTGTTGCACTACACTCCTGGAAGTTTCGGGTGTTCATCAAGCTCCTCAGAGGGAGCTCGAAGCCCCTAAGCCTATGGGGTTTAGGGTTTAGGGTTTAGGGTTTAGGGTTTGGGGTTTAGGGTTTAGGGTTTAGGGCTTACTGTTGTTAGGGTTTAGGGTTTAGGGTTTAGGGTTTAGGGTTTGGGGTTCAGGGTTTAGGGTATAGGGTTTAGGATTTAGGGTTAACCCCAAACCATAAACCCTAAACCCTACTCGCTAAACCCTATACCCGGAAACTCCATTTGATGAACACGAATCCGTGCTCTGCTGTTTCGGCTCGGAGGGGCTGGGTGGGTCCGAACCTCCAAACGAAGCCTCGGGTTTTGGCGGTTTAGGGTTTTAAGGTTTTAGGGTTTTAGGGTTTTAGGGCTTTAGGGTTTGCGGGTTTTATGGTTTTTTATGGGGTTTTATGGGGTTCTGTGGGGTTCTGTGGGGTTTTGTGGGGTTTTGTGGGGTTCTGTGGGGTTTGAAGGTGGGGTTTCTAGATGTTTGGTCCCTAGGGCCAAGGGGCTTCAGGGGGAACAAAAGAAGACCTCTGAACCCTGCAACCCCCTACACGAAAACAAAGCAAAACCCAAAACCCAAAGCACTTTTTGCAACGCAACTGGAGACCCGGCCGGCTTGATCCCTCGCTGGCCCTCAGCCCTAAACCCTACACCCGAAGCCCTGAGCCCTAAACCCGAAACCCGCAACCCCAAAACCTAAACCCTAAACCCGAAACCCTGAACCCTAAACCCTAAATCCAAATCCCTACACCCTAAACCCGAAACCCTAAACCCTAAACCCTAAACCCTAAACATGGGCCTGCGGAGTGAGGTGCCCCTAAAGGCACCTGGCAGCATATTCTTGTTGAAAAGGCGTTTAGGGTTTAGGGTTTAGGGTTTGGGGTTAAGGGTTTAGGGTTTAGGGTGTATCCCCCCCAAAGTCTCCCTAAACCCCCTAAGCCCAACAGTTTAGGGTTTGGGGCTTAGGGTTTTATAGGCTTGACAGGTTTTTTTAGGTTTTTATAGGGTTGGTAGGGTTTAGGGGGTTTGAGGATCAACTTCCAGCTTGGGATTGCCATCTGTATTTGGGTTTGGGGGATATTGGGTCGTTCAGTGGCTGATGGTCCCCCTTTTTGGGGTCCCCAGTAGAACGCGGCACCCTCAGAAACATGACACACATGACCTTCAAGAGGACCGTGGAGTTTAAAGGGCCACTCATGTGGGGGTTTAGGATTTAGGAAACGAGGGTTTTTGAGTGATCTGCTTCAAGGGGTCTGCGTACCAACATTGGAGAGTAGGAAGGGGGAACCGGATTCTTTTGTAGCGAGGCTTCAAGGCTTAGGATGCAGAGACGTCCCTGAACCTAAGATTGTGGCGCTTGCGTGCTTAGGCCTTGAGAGCAAAGAGGGATATGCTGGAGCTGACAAGAGTTTGGGGTTTAGGGGTTTAGGGGTTAAGGGGTTTAGGGGTTAAGGGGTTTAGGGGTTTAGGGGTTTAGGGGTTTAGGGCTGAGGAGGGGAGGAGGGTTCGGTTTAGGGCTTGGGCTCAGGAATCGGATTTAAGGTGTCAGGACTTCATCAATAGAGACCAGAGTTGAGCAGGTGGCTTCCAGGGCTTAGAAAAAAGAGGCTTGGAGTCTACTTTACATTACCTCGCATGGTCAAGCTACACCCCCCTAAACCCTACACCCCCTAAACTTGGTCATAGTGGGGTAAGATTTTACATCTTTGAGGGTACTTAAACTCAAGAAGGAATAGAAACTCACTTGTTCAATACCATCCCAACCATGAACTAGGAAGCTCTCCGAGGTAATTCTTGTGGGCCTTCGGCGTGGTGGCCACACAGAGTTGCGGCGGAAACAGCTTCTGGAGTTCTTCCGTGCTGCTGGACATCTGAAGATCTACCTCCCGCAGCCCCTTGCAGAAAGCTGAGCAGATGAGGCTACGGTTTAGGGTTGGCCATCGCCCCGCCGCCTCCCCCCTCCCCCCCAACTCTCAACCCTAGAACCCAAAGCCCAGACCCTCCCCAAACCCCCACAGCCTGCACAAGATCCGCAAAACCCCCCTGCTTCTTAATAGGGAATGAGGGAATTACTTGCAGGGGGTATATGTATATATACCCTTTAAGGGACTATATGTATAATATGGTACCTCATCCCTCCTTCCCTACTAAGAACCAGCCAGAAAATTCCAAGCTCGCCCAGGTTTACCATGGCAATCAGCGCTTGCGGAGAGGTCGCCGCCTGGAAGGAAGCCTTGCAAATCTTCGACGGCATGTCGGATGCCAGACTTAGCCCCTCTTCGATCTCTGGAGGTTTACGGAGTGTTTGGGTTTCGGGCTTAGGGTACCTTTAAACCCTGAACCCTAAACCCTAAACCCTGAAAGCATTCAGGCCGACGTTTAGGGCTTAGGGCAGGGTTTTCGGGCTTAAGGGCGAAGTAGGGTCGATGAGATTATGACTGTTAAGCTGCACGATGTGCATGTCAGCAGCACCCGAATGGAGTATCTCTGGCCAGACAACACCCCAATGACATCGTGATAGAGTTAGGACTCAGAGTAAGTCGGGGTCTTGCTCCCTCTTTTAGGGCTTCGGCTGCCTCCTAAACCCCCTTTAGAATAGGGTCTAGGGTTTGGAGTTTAGGGTTCGGGGTTTAGGGCGTGTTCACTCCTTCATGATGGGATCTAGAAATGGAGGATCCAAGGTCCCAACGCCATCAGCTACAACACCACCCTGCGTGCTTGCGAGAGTCTTGGCTGCCCCGTCATGCCGCCCCAAACCCTAAACCCTAAACCCCACACCCTAAACCCTAAAACCCAAACCCTAAACCCCAAACCCTGAACCCTTGGTTCACATCGCAAGATCCTGAACATCGAAAAAGACGATGGCCCCTCAACTGCCCTTGGAGGGTCCTTGCTTGGAAGTTCATGTGTCCGAAGAAGGGTTTAGGGCTTGGGGCTTAGTATTTCGGGGGTTTAGGGGTGCAGGACTTAGGGTCTAGGCTAATGAGAATTCAGCAGGGTGAGAAGTGCCCTAAATTTGGTTATAACCATAGTGGCCCTACTTGTAACCCTACCCTGAAGTACCCATGAACCTCCAAGTGAGAGTGCTTCGATTCGACGGTAGTCCGCATCGAGAAAGAGCAACATAGCCCTAAACCCTAAACCCTACACCCTAAACACTAAACCATCGTCCCTGGGGATTTTCGGCACCTACGGCCATGATCGTACGTTCAACTCTCTCCCTCCAAGGCCCTACGCCCTAAGAAGCCCTCAACCTTGTAGGGGTTGGTTGTTCTGTTTAAGTCGGGTGTCTGTCTTATAGGTTATTTCTTTGGGGTTCTCCTTAGGGTATCTAGGGGCTATACTAAGGTACAAGGGTAACAGATAGAGAGAGGCCACCGGCCTCTTTATATAACCTCAACCCTATAAGACCTGAAGCCCCTCGAAGCCTCAGCAACCCTAGGCCTTACACAAGCCCCCAGCCCCTTCTGACCGCGACGATCTTCATGCTGTTTCGTCATGACTATATAGCGAGAATGGAGACCTGAAAGGGGCAAACCCTAAACCCTATAAACCTTAAACCCTAAACCCTAAACCCTAAACCCCTAAACCCTAAACCCTAAGCCCAAACCCTAAACCCTATACCCTATACCCTGATCCCTTGCTTCTACCTACTGTTCCTTGAAACCTCGGAAAAAACTGAAAAGGAGGGGGAGCCAGTGGCAGTGGGCCATGGAGCTCCACACGGCCATGCGCGCAGCTGCCTGATAGCAGAGGACAGGGTTGCTTGTACATTTTGTGTATATTCGTGCATATCTATGCATCTCTCTATCTATCTATTTATATAGATATATGTATATATATATATATGTGTACATATATATATATATAATTATATATCTGTACATACAGAAGTACAAACAAAGATAAGTTCAAAAAAACAATTGAAAATGTGTATGTACATATCTTACCATGAGTAGTCTCATGAATTTACGTGTGTGTGTGTGTTCTGTTAGGTTGACGTTGTTGATTGCGAACGGTGCGCATACGCATTCTGTTTCCTATACACACATGCTGCAGGTCCAGCCCTACACCCTATACTATACCCTAAACCCTGAACTGGCCCCAAACCCTAAATCCCAAACCCCAAACCCCAAACCCCAAACCCCAAACCCTAAACCCTAAACCCTACACCCATGGAAAGCTGAGGCCACAGTGCCCTCAGACATCCTCAGCTACAACACAACCATCCGGTCGCTGCGCCGCGCATTCAGGGGGGGAGGAATTTGGGGTTCTCTCAGACATTTAGTGGTTGAGGGTTTGGGGTTCAGGGGTTGAGGGTTGAGGGTTTAGGGTTTAGGGGTTGAGGGTTGAGGGTTTAGGGTTTAGGGGTTGAGGGTTTAGGGTTGAGGCTTAAGGGCACTTGCAGGCCACAGGCTTAGGAAGCCCACTGCTGCAGAATTCTCGGGGTGTTGGGGGCAGTAGAGCGACGGTAGCAGGACAAGACTGTCGGACAATGAGCCGACATGATTCACACGGCCACTATACACCTGCCATCCCTATATAAGTAGATACACTTCCCAGGGTTCCGGTTGAAAGAAATTCATGGGTCGCCCCCCCCCCCCCCCCCCCCCCGCCCCACATTCGCTGACGCGGAGTGCTTCGTTCCCTAAAGCCGAAGACAGGAGGCTTAGGGTATAGGGTTCAGGCTTTAGGGTTTAGGATGTACATGTTTTCCTTCGTTCGGGTACTTGGGACCCTCGGGTGGGTCCCCATGTCACAGACCACTTTCAATCTTGTTCGGGGTCTCTGGTTTAGGGATTCAGGGTGTAGATTTAGGGCCTAGGGTTTAGGGTTCATTGCTTTTTCCACGGAAAGTTTCCGGTTCGTGGTTTCTGGCTTCGGGAATTGCGGTTTCGGCTTAGGGCCTAGGATGCAGGGTTTTCTGCTTTTGGAATGTTTCGACTCGGTCTACGAGCCAGATGAACTTAAGCCTTCATATGGGTGGCTGTCAAAATTATGGTCCCTGTTGGGGTCCTTATTAAAATTCGTTACCGAATATTTAGGGTACTGTACCCCAAAAGGGATCATAATTTTGACAACCACCCATAAGCAGCCGCGCCTCCAAAATGAATCCTGCGCGCTCCAGTTTCGACCTAAGATCTTCGAGGCCTCTTTGTGAGATCCATACACCCTGACCCTATATCTAAACCCAATAAACCCTAATACACCATTTCAAACCCATAAACCCCATAAACACCCCCCCCCCCCAACCCTAAACACCCTTTAAAAAAAAGATGAGCCCCTTGACAGTTTCCTTTGGGGTGGCAGAGTCAGGTCCTGCAACATAAACCCTACTAAGAACTCAACAACCCCTTTAAACCAGCACTATAAACCCTACCATAAACCCAAATAAACCCTCTAAGTCCTCTAAAGTGGCAGAGTCAGGTCCTGCAACATAAAGCCTACTATAAAACCTACTGTAAACCCTACGATAAACCCAAATAAACCCTCTAAGTCCTCTAAAGTGGCAGAGTCAGGTCCTGCAACATAAAGCCTACTATAAACCCAATTGAACCCTCTAAACCCTCCAAAGTGGCAGAGTCACAAGTCCTCTAAAGTGGCAGAGTCAGGTCTTGCAACAGCAGCTCTCAGTGGAGGCGGTCCTTCCACCTCTGGGCATCGATCCCCGATGCCGGGCTGACGCCCAACTACCTCAGCTACTTGGACCCAGAGGAGGCCTCTTCTTCCCCTTTTTTTTAGGGTTTAGGGTTTAGGGTTTAGGGTTTAGGGTTTCGGGTTTCGGGTTTAAGGCTACTAGGACCAAAAGTCGGAGGCCCTTATTCCACGTTTTTTCTCAGGGTTTGGGTTCCCTGATAACCCCCTTTAAACTTGTTTATTTTCCTCGGTTCCTCCTGGGTCGAGGCTACAACGCCCTCCTGCACGCGTGCGAAATGGGTATGCAATGGCAGCATGCCCTTCGAGAGCCTTCGCTTCCTTGTTCAGCAAAGGAGTTGTCGGCTTAGGGCTTATGGCTTATGGTTTATAGGGTTTATAGGGTTTATAGGGTTTATAGGGTTTATAGGGTTTATAGGGTTTATAGGGTTTATAGGGTTTACAGGGTTTATAGGGTTTATGGGGTTTATAGGGTTTATAGGATTTATCGGGTTTAGGGTTGAGGGGTCTCTACGCGGCAGAGGGGATAGTTGGGGATAGTTGGCTTCACCTCTCCTGGGCGTGCAAAGCTAGAACTGAAGAATGCTTTGCCTGACCACCAGCTTGCCTAACGAACAAAGCAAGGAATTCGGTGCCATGACCAGTGCTCGCCTGGGAAAGGATGCTGTGAGCTATTGCACGGCTCTTCGTGCCTGTCAGAAGGGGCATGCCTGGCAGGCAGGTGTGCACATCTTCAACTCCATGATGCGTAAGCGCTTCTTTCCGGACGTTTTCAACTACAACGCGACCATCAGCTCTTGCGAGAAGGGCTCGCAGTGGCTCTTGGCCTTGCATCTACTGCATGGCATGCCTTCAGCTTCCCTCACGCCTGACACCGTCAGCTACAATGCCGCCTTGGACGCTAGCAAGGCTGCCGAGCAATGGCAGTGGGCACTGCAGCTGTTCAACTCATTGCCAGCATCGGGACTCCGCCCCGACGCGATTTCTATCAACACCACCGTCACCGCCGCAGTCGAAGGGACCCAATGGCAACTGGCACTGCGCCTCTTTCATTCCATGCCAGAACCTTGGGGACGAAAGGAGCCCTAATTTTGCGGTCATATGCCCTGACTTCTATAATTCATATTCAGGTATATTAACCCTAAACCCTAAACCCTAAACCCTTTTACCCAAGGAATCCGAAGTCATCCCCACCATCGCCAGCTACAACGCCGCCATCAGCGCCGCAGGACAGGAGTTTCAGTGGCGATCCGCCTTGGAGCTCTTTCGCAACCAGACTGCGGATTCATGTTTAGGGTTTAGGGTTTAGGGTTTAGGGTTTAGGGTTTAGGTTTAGGGTTATGTGGGGCCTACAAGTAGGGGCCCCCTAGTTATAGGTGGGGTTCTGAAGGCCCTAAATTGGGTTATAAGTCTTCCTATTTAGGTTAAAACTCCCACATCATTTGGCGTACTTATCGCCCTACTTGTGAGGGACCCCAAAGACCTACTTATTTCTCCGATTCGTTCAAGCAAAATAAGTACCATGGACCTTCAAGCATATACTTCCTGCTCTACGTACTCCAGAAAAAGCGGGGCTTTTTGGGGAGAAACGGGCACAGCCCGGTCCTCAAGAGTCTCAGGGTTTAGGGTTTAGGGTTTAGGGTTTAGGGTTTAGGGTTTAGGGTTTAGGGTTTAGGGTTTAGGGTGTCATCGGACTTGCTCTTTTGTGTTGAACGGATGCACCCCCCGAAGCTATATCCTCAATTCTCCACATTCTTTTAGGGGCCCACAAACCACATAGACATAAGGATCCTACTATTGGGGTAGAAGGGCCCCTATAAGGGGGATTCCGAAAAACCCTGTTTGTAGGATCCTTATTATGTTTATGTGGTTTTTTGGGCCCCTATTCTTGGCTTGCTACTTACTCTACGTGGCGGGTTGATTCGGTTGCTGGGCTCCCCTTCCGCTTCTTCCCTCAGCCTCGTCGTGGCTCAGGGAGCGCGGCCGAAGCCCAGCTGGCCAGAGACGTGATCACCTACAACGCGGCGACACCCTCTCAATGGCAAGATTTTGGCCCTAAGCCCCTAAACCCCTAAACCCCTAAACCCCTAAACCCCTAAACCCCTCTAAACCCCTAAACCCCTAAACCCCTAAACCCCTAAACCCCTAAACCCCTAAACCCCTAAACCCCTAAACCCCTAAACCCTAACCCTAATCCTAAACCCTACTTCCCAGACTCCTGTCCCGGGGTCCGGACCAAACCCTGCAACACGCTATCGCGCGAAAGCCACTGAGAGTTTCTGGGGCTTAGGGTTTAGGGTGCATGGGTTTTTTTCGGTTCAGGGTTTAGAAGAGGTTTAGGGTTTAGGGTTTAGGGTTGGGGCTTAGGCTGAAAGTCTCAACCTGAAAGCCCTTTATCCCCATCCCTACCAAGAGCTGCCTGTTACACCCGCAAACACTGCACATGTGTGCCTAAATGGTGATTCGGGTTAGGGTTTGTAGGGTTCAGGTGGGTACCCTACTCAAGGGTTAAAAGGAGGGACCCCTAGAAGGGACCCTATATCTTATTCCCCTATAGAACCTTGTTCCCCTATAGAACGCCTATTTTCATATAACTAGCCCCTACAGGCCCTACATACAACCCCAAAACACCCCTAAGGTCCCTTATCAGGGTCCATTCTTTAGTCCCTTGATCTACGAGATCCGATTTATAACCCACATATAAGCCCCTTGAGTACCCTGATAGGGTCATAATCGGGTTATAAGTATGCTTGGGTGTTCCTCTAGGAATTCCAAAACAGCGCTCAAGCAGCGAGGTGATGCGATCCTGCGAGCAAGCTGGCCTTTGGAAGTCAGTGCTCGAATTGCTGAGCCGGAGCTCAAGAGTTGATTGCCCCAAACCCTAAACCCTAAACCCTAAATCCTAAACTCTAAACCCTAAACCCTAAACCCTAAATACTAAACCCTAAAACCTAAACCCTAAACTCTAAACCCTAAACCCTAAACCCTTGAAAAAAAAAGAAAGTAAAACCTAAACCCTAAAAGCTTGGGGCTCCTAACCCATCACCGTCAAAACCCTAAAAGCTTGAGGGTTTAGTAGTGTGTAGGGTCTGGGCCCTAAACCCTAAGCCCTAAACCCTAAACCCCCTAGACCCCTGAGACCCTAAACAGGTGTACAGGGCTTAGGGCTTGGGGCTTGAGGCTTGTTGTGGAGTCTGCGGTTGAGCTGTCGACTTGTTGGGCTTGCCTTTATGGTTTAGGGTTTAGGGGTTAGTTAGGGAGTCATGAACTTTCCAGTTTGTACTTCGATTCGGCCCTGGAGAGAAAGGCGGTTTAGGGTTTAGGGTTTAGGATTAGGAGCAGCCGCGGTGCGTAGCATGCCTAGCCTCCCACAAGTTCGGGAATTCTGTGCTCAGAGGGTTAGATTTGAGTGTCGAACGTTTGGGGTTTTGGGGGTTTGCTTTTTTGCGATTTGAGGAAGGCTGTGGCGGGAACCCCCGGAAAACCTCAACCCCAAACCCGAAACCCTAAACCCTAAACCCTAAACCCTCCCCCTAAACCCCAAACCCGAAACCCTACCAAGGAGCTCCATCACACGCGCGCAACTCTCTCCGGACGTCATCAGCTACTTGGTAGCCCAGTGGTACCCTTTACCCTTTCTTGGGGTTCTGGTTTCCCTTATAAATAAACCCTAAACCCTAAACCCTAAACCCTAAACCCTAAACCCTAAACCCTAAACCCAACAAAGGGTGCCCTTATCAGAAGATGGTTGCTGGGCTACCAAGGCCACACCATCGCCATGGGTGCCTGCGCTGGGAGGTGGCAGACGTCGCTGCCCCTTGGAAGGCGAATGACACAGAGGCCCCCCCGAAACCCTGAAACCTAAACCCTACCACCCACACCCTAAACCCTATACACCCTGTAAACGCTATGAACCCTGTAAACCCTGTAAACCCTGTAAACCCTATAAACCCTATAAAAACCCTATAAACCCTATAAACCCTATAAAAACCCTATAAACCCTGTAAACCCTGTAAACCCTATAAACCCTGTAAACCCTATAAAACCCTAAGAACCCTAAGAAGCCTAAAAACCCTAAGAACCCTAAAAACCCTAAAAACCCTAAAGCCCTAAAGCCCTAAAACCCTAAAAGCCCTAAAACCCTAAAACCCTAAGACCCTAACAAACCTAAAACCCTAAAACCCTAAAACCCTATAAAACCCTAAAACCCTAAAACCCTAAAACCCTAAATCCCGAAAACCCTAAAACCCTAAAACCCTAAAACCCTAAAACCCTAAAACCCTAAAACCCCAAACCCCAGAGAGAGACCCAAAACCCCCGCACCCTGGTCTCCCGTCGGCTCTGGCCCCCGACACCTTGCGCTACTCTTTGAGATGATGTTAAAGGGTTAGGGTTTAGGGTTTAGGGTTTAGGGTTTAGGGTATAGGGTTTAGGCTTATAAGTAAGGTAGCTATGCTTATAACCTCATCTAGGGTGCTTATATTCCCTTACGTTCAAGGAATGACCCCTGAACCTTCAAGTAGCATCCGTAAACATAAAGCCCTTAAAGTAAGGATCGTGTACCCTGTGATCGGTTTAGGGTTTAGGGTTTAGGGTTGTTTAGGGTTTAGGGTTTGGGGTTTGGGGTTTGGGGTTTGGGGTTTAGGGTTCGTACTGTTCCATTCCCTGCTCAAGACCTCATACTTGTCCTCGGGTGCCTTTCATCCGCAAGGTAAAGCCCTAGACCTACCCCTAAACCCTAAACCCTAAACCCTAAACCCTAAACCCTAAACCCTAAACCCTAAACCCTAAACCCTGAACCGCCCTCGTGATGAGCCGCAAAGGCAGCTCCTGGCTTCCCTCCAGCACGCCACGCTCCGCCCGGACGTTGCGAGCTACAACGCTGCCATGGGCTCCTGTGAGAAGCTTGTGGATGGTTTGGGGTTTAGGGTTAGGGTTTAGGGTTGAGGGTTTAGGGTTTAGGGTTCAGGGTTTAGGGTTCTAAACCTGCAGGGTGTAGGTATGCTTCTTAGCGATTTGGGGCTTGAGTTTGTTTGCCTCAAACCTTCAGGCCTAGCCCCCTCCCCCCTCTAGCCCTAAACCCTAGACCCTAAACCCTCAACCCTAAACCCTCAATCCTAAACCCTAAACCTCCCTGTAGTCTCCTCAAGGAAAGGCGCGCAATGGGAATGGACCCTGAGCCTCTTCCACTCCATGCCCTCCAGGTCTCGGTGGCCCAGTGGTACCCTTTTGCCCCTTTTTTAGGGTTTAGGGTTTAGGGTTTAGGGCATAGGGCTTGAGGCTTAGGGCTTAGGGCTTAGGGCTTAGGGCTTAGGGCTTAGGGCTTAGGGCCTTGGGCTTAGGGCTTAGGGCTTAGGGCTTAGGGTTAGGGTTCATTTAGGGTTTAGGGTTTAGGGTTGTTCAGGGTTCGCTTATAAAGTGCCCAACCCCCAAAAGGGGGTACCCGTACTAAAGTATGGTTACTGGGCTACCAAGGGGAGGGACACACTGTATTTCCACAGTTTCACTAGACCGTTTACAAGACCTCAAGCGGATATTGAATGTGTTTGTCCTGCTTGTCAGCGAGTCTAGATGTAGGCCCTGTGAGAACTCTTGTTCCGCGCTGATGAGGTGCTGCAGTTGCTACAATGCTGGACAATGCTATAGTCGTAGTCATGCTGCTAAATCACGTGACATGTGAGTTCTCACTCTTCCCAGTCAGCAGCCCCTTCTGTCGAGAACACACTTTGCCTTCCGGGCTATTTGTTGCCTAGGGCGAATCCCTAAACCCTAAAACCAAAACCCGAAATTTTAACGCTGAACCTTAAGTGCTAAATCCCAAACCCTAAACCCTAAAACACTAAACCCTAAACCCTAAACCCTAAACCTTTTTGCGACCAGGGCTTCGCTGGCGCGGGACTTGCCGAGCTACCTCGCTGCAATCGGCGCTTGCCACAGGAGGGCCCAATGGCAGGCTGCAGTCGATCTCTTCAGCTCCATACCAGGCGCTGGCGCACATGGGGTTTAGGGTTTAGGGTTTAGGGTTTAGGGTTCAGGGTACACTGTGAAGGTCCACCTCTCAACCCTTACAACGCCAGCTCCTGGAACATGAGATGCTGAATCGTCGTAAACCCTAAACCCTAAACCCCAAACTCCAAACCCTAAACCCTAAACCCTAATTCTAAACCTTAAAACCCGTAGGGCTCTTACATTTTGGTCCCTCAACTTCGGCCCCCAGATCTCTAGATCCAACAATCTGCGAGTCGGTTGCCCGCCGTCTTGGTCTTTGCTGAATGGCGCATGCCTTCCTGAACGGGAGTTGCCGTGCATTTTGGGCTTGATGTCTCTGAACCCACAACCCTAAACCCTACAAATTGGGTTTCAGTGGGTTTCAGAGTGCAGCAGGCTTCCAGGCCTGCGCGGAGGGTGAAAAGCTGGGGGGCCTCGCCCTATATGGGTGGTTCCTGAATTAGGGTCCCATTTCGCGTTAAGAGCTCCGTGCTATACAGGGGACCCAACAGGGGACCCTAATTTCGAAACTACTCCTATAGAAGCCTCGTGGCAGGAGACCACGTCGCGCCCACCGCGGCTCTCTACAACAGCCTCATCACCGCGCTCCATGCGGGTGAGCAGTGGCAGCAGGCTCTGAGTTGCCAATGAGGAGTCCCCCTAAACCCTAAACCCTACACCCGAAACCCTAAACCCTTAACCCTAAACCCTAAATTCTAAACCCTAAACCCTAAACCCTAAACCCTAGCCCTAAACCCTGAGCCCTAACCCTGAAAACAACCCTAAACCCTAATCCAACCCTAAGTCCTAAACCCTAAACCCGTGCAAGAATTGTTGCTGACCATTTCTCGGTTCGGGGGGGGATAGATACCAGTACCGCACCCTAAACCCTAAACCCTAAACCCCAAACCCCAAACCCTAAACCCTAAACCCTAAACCCCGCTTTGGGCTTCATTCACGCCGTTCGGGGCTGAACTTGCCATTTCAGGGGCTTCTCAATGGGACTTGTAGTCGCAACAGTGGATGCAGAGCTGCGGTTTAGGGTTTAGGGTTTAGGTTTAGGGTTTAGGGTTTAGGGTTTAGGGCTTAGGGTTTAGGGTCTAGGGTTTAGGGTTTAGGGTTTAGGGTTTAGGGTTTAGGGTTCACTATACAGGTTGCCTCATCCCGTACCCATTCCCTGCGCGGACAACCGCGACAGATGGCAGCACTTTGCCATCAGCTCGCTAGTCCTAACCTTGGACTGCCTTTCGCTGCAGAGCGACAGAGAGAGAGAGATAGAGAGAGAATGAGAGAGAATGAGAGAGAGAGAGAGAGATAGAGAGAGGGAGAGAGGGAGAGAGGGAGAGAGGGAGAGAGGGAGAGAGGGAGAGAGGGAGAGAGGGAGAGAGGGAGAGAGTGAGAGAGTGAGAGAGTGAGAGAGTGAGAGAGTGAGAGAGTGAGAGAGTGAGAG